TTGTGTTGTGTTCTTGGGCAAGACACTTTACTCTCACAGTGCCTCTCTCCACCTAGGTGTATAAATGGGTACTGGCAAATTTAATGCTGGAGTAACCCTGCGATGGACTAGCATCCCATTCAGGGGAGGTGAGGAAAGAAATATGCCTAGTCTCTCCATGCTACAGAAACCAGGATAAGCTCTGGCCTAGTGGGCCACTTGGCTTGAATGCAGAGTTTACTTATCTTTCATTTACTTTATGACCATTTTTGACCCAAAGATACGTTTGTGGGGCAACATAATCCTCAGAATGTGGTTACTGGGAGAGTAACAATGTGACTTGTGAACAAAATTCCCTTCATACTTATGGTCATAGTGGTCTTAACCCCTTTAAGATGATAACCACTACAACACAACCATATTTTGAAGTATTAGAAGGATTCTACTGAATAAATTTTGAATAGTACAGATCGCAAAAAGCTCTTACATACATTGTATTACTGTTTGTTATAATTTTTTCCCTTGATTTGTTTATCCTCAGGAGGGATCCCACATGCCTACACCCTGTTAGCTTGCGATTTCTACAAACTTATCCAGGAATACAAACAGACTGAGCGCATCTCTGTACATGAATATGTACGTGACAACTGGACATTTCATGCTAAAGGGCTATGGTACTATTTTCCAAATGAGTCCAGGCCAAGTTTAACTCTCATTGGTTCTCCTAATTTTGGGCACCGTTCAGTGTACCGTGATTTAGAGGCCCAGGTTGCCATAGTAACAAACAATCAGGGCCTTTGTGAAGCACTCCATGAAGAAAAAAGCCGCCTTTACAACAGTGCTGAGTATGTGACTGAGGAGACGTTTATGCTACCTGAGCGCGAAATCCCAGTATGGGTTTATTGTGTTATGAGACTGACAAAGAATTTTCTTTGACACATGTCGAGCTTCATTGTATATGTTAACAATATATGTTATTAGAAGCATGCAAATAAAAATATGACGTTGACATTTTAATATACCTGCACATTTTACATTGTGTGACTGTGTTATTTCCCTTCATCACCTGTATTCAAACCTTGTATATTCTTGAAAGAAGTATAGACTGAAGTACAGCCCTCCATTGCCTAGTCTCAGAGTTAAACTGCTTTCATGTGCTTGCCCAACCAAGAAAAAGCCCATTTTAGCAATACAACATGCTGACTTTAATCAGCACAACAGTACAGATAGAAATAAGGTTCACCTTCTTTTCATCCCACGATTTTCATCCTTGTCAGGACACAAGCAAAATTTTGTTATTCTGTCACACGCACTTTAGAAATGGACCATTATTTTTTGAGGGGGTGGGAGGGGGCTTAGGCAATTTCCAAAAGAAAATTCCTGCCCAGCAAAAGCAGCTGAAAAAAAATTGTCGAAGGGGGGCCATGGGGAAAAAATCGAACAAGTGTTTTCTACTATCCAGATCCTCTGTTTGACTTTAACAAATTTTTGCACAAGCTATTGCCAACCAGAGAAAAAAAAAAAACAAAATTATGCACAACTTAAAGGTGAGAAATGTCCCAGAAAATTGCCCACCCACCCATCAAAAAAATAATGGTCTGTCCCTTAGCTTCCTAGGGTTGTCTCTCTTACTCCCTGGGTAAATAATGGCTGTACAACACTTTTTCATATTGACAAGAAGAATAATTTACTGAGTTTTAATAGGAGATGCTGTATGGAAGTTGCACGCTCCGGGTCATGGGCTCCTGGTTTTAAAGACAATTTTTATTTGGGGCTAGTTGACCTGGGGGCTAAACGATCTACGTTCATAGATTTGCGATGACCTCCTCTCCCTCTGTGCTATCCTTTTGTGCTTCATTGTTTGTTTGGAACCCAGGCTGCTTAGCCCTGCCAGCCCGAGGAGGCCTGGGGAAGAGGCTTCCAAATGAAAACAGTCAACTCGGTAATAAATCCTCTACCTCAATGAATTAGCTACCCGCTTAATCGCAGAAAATGAGCTCGTTCTGTGAAAGAAAACTTTCAGAAGAAGATCTACTTGGCTGTTGGGAGGTACGATCAATACAATCCAGACAAAATCAAGAGGTTTCATTTCTGCTGACTGACTAGTTTCTTGAAATGTTTACAGATAGTGTCCTGTAAGTTGTCGGATGAATGTTACTCGGCTGTTGAAGGGTACGTCACGATTATCTGTCATTCTTTTTTTGCTTTTTTGTTTGGATTTATATCGAGTGTTTTCTTAATATCATAATTTCATTAGCAATTTGATCATTTCGAATTAATGGCCGGTTATCCCTTCATGGCATGGTTTTATAGCTGGCTAATTAAGCTTATGGTTACCTGAGCTAACCATGCATGTAAAGCTTATGAATTAAAACACAGTTTAGTTTAATGCTGTATACCCGGATTTGCCATTACGTGTTGTTTGTTCGTTTTGATCTACGATTTCCATAGATGGAGTCATGCATGATAGGTTTCTATTTATTGTGAATCATATTTTTGTTATAAACTTACATATAAGGCCACTTGCATTGTTTGGCTGTATCTTAATCATTGACTAATGAATAAATAATGTGCCTTTATACTGTAGATGTACACAACACTTAAACACAGTCATTATCAAAAGTATCGACATTTCTGCCAGACAGTTACTCAGATATCCTTTTGGCTTCTGACGTGAGACAAACCAAAAGAATGTCTGGGTAGGTGGTTAAATTTCTACCTGCTGCACCCCCACAGTTCATCCTCACTTAGAGTTTAGCAGTAGATTCTTACAGAAAGAATCCAGGGAAATTTCAGCCGGGACTTCTCAACCTGTAGCAGATTCCTGGGGTAGATCCAGGATTTTTGTTAGGAAGGGGTGCACCACTAAGGAATGGCATAACTGACTGGTGACGTAAACAAATTTGAAAAGCGAACATGAAAAAGGCTTCATCTTGGGGAGGGGTTCACACACCCTGCACCCTCCTTCTAGATCAACCCCTGGATCCACACCTTTTTACAAGGTGATGACCACAAAGGTTTTTCCAGCCCTTTGAACCTTGAATTACCCTGAGAGCAGTTGGTTTCACCTACGACAAATGAGAGAGTTATACTCTCATTTGCGTAGGAGAACCAACTCTTAACAGGATAGCCTTAAATTAAGGTGGGGGTCGAAAATATTTTGATCCTTTAGACCTAATAAGTATTTTAGCCATTAAATATGGGGATAGCCGTCTGGTTTGGCTTCACACTTTCCATGAAAGTGTTATAAGTGAAATGGTACACTTGAGATTTAATTAGATAATAAGTTACTGTTAGGTTAGAGCACTCAGACTTTCAAAATGTGAGCAACCATTAATTTTGTAGCAACTAGTTATTATACCTGTGGAAAATTGACTTGGCCCAACTCATTCTTTCAACCCATACATGTAAATTCGTACATGACTAATGAAAGTTGCATGAAAATATATGAATTGATGCATTTTTATTCGTTATGAAATTAGTCATTTTCGCATGTTTCGTAATTTGCTGTTTCGTAGTGTACAATTTCACCTGGAGGAAGGAGGTGATCTGATCTGGATAGTGCCACCTGCTTTAGAACAAGAAAGTCTTCCTTTCTTCTCCTGTGAAACATTTGTGGTTAGTGCTATCGTTATTTATGTTTTAGCTGACAGAAAGTTTGCAGCTACTGTACCACAAATGCCAAAATGTTCTCTTATAGGCTATTGCACTCACTATCTATTCTGTTGTATTAAATAGCGAGTTAATAAGGCTAGCAGTGTGCTGTTGTCAACAAATGGCAGTTGCTTCTTTATGTTTTCGAAGTGTCTTTGAAGAGAATTTAGATAAAGTTTTGAACAGCTTGTAGATTTATACTAAGACAATGAGATTTCCATGCATAAACAGCTTAGGTTTAAAGTAATTTGAAATCTTCTTTATCAGCAAAAATGTTGATCAGTATGGAAAAGTTTGTAGTTAGTAGATTTCACAGTCAGTCACATGCCTGTAAATCAAGTTTCTACTGACATTTTTAAATTATATTTACTAAGCTTGGTTGCTACTAAATATTTCTGGGCTTCCAAATTTAGTATTAAAACAATATCACAGCTGCAGTAATATTGTGTTTGCTATTTTCAGTTTGACAGTTTCTCAGGAGAGTTGGTTTGTTATGGCAACAATGTTGATAAAATTGCATTGAAAGTAAGTAAGCTAATAACACGAGAATATGAAGACATGATTGATCATTGCAGTTATATGCACAACTTAAGCAGCTGTGAAATGTAAGGCCGAAAAAAAAAATGGGCTTGAATGGGATTTGAACCCATTGACCTCTGTGATACTGGTGCTCTACTAACTGAGCTATTGAGCCAACTTGGAGCTGGTCACGTTTGAGTTCTTGATATACCCATAGAAGGTGAAGAATCAAGTCTTCATTCTTCCTTCCTTCTTTTGCACCTGTCAACTCCTTCCAAGTCAAATATGTGTGATTTTTGTGTCCCATATATTTCCTCAATTTTCTGAAAAAAATTTGACAACTTTCTGACATTATCAAAGAGTTCCGACAACTTCTGAAGATTACTGAAGATTCCAAAGATGTTCTAATGAATTTTCAAGGTCGCTGAATGTAGCACTGAGTAGCAACAAATCATAATACTATCTTATCTTTTAGCTTGACATTTGGCACCATTTTGGGTGGAAATTGCATTCAATTTTTCATGTTAATGATTACTTAACAAGTAGTCTGAAATTGTGTGTCAAGGGTGTGAAATGGTCATGTATGCATGTGATCAAGGTTTTTTTTATCTGCAGCAGACTTTTAGCCAGATGGGCTTCTAGGCATCCTTTGCACGGCCACTTAACAAAATTGTGCTATTTTTCATAATTATGTTGCCTTGAGGCAACATATGTTAAGTTGAACAGGCCCTATAGCACATTTTGGACAGCCACTTTTCAAATCCTGGCTAAAAGTCTGCTCTGCAGGCAAGTGACACACATAGTGCATGTGAACTTGCAGCTCTATTCTTTACTTCCTCAAACATCCTTCCTTCTTTCCTCGCTTTTTGTAATACTGTGGAACCCGCCTTACGGCCACCCCATTAATATGGTCACCTCGTTATT